CCTTAAAATTTTTCAAAAGGCAACAACGAAAAAACGCCGAAGTCCAAAGTTATGCCTACAAAGAGTTATATCTTTGAGTAAATGATATATATATATATATATATATATATATATATATATATATATATATATATATATATATATATTGATATGTCTGTATAAAAGTAACCGACTTGATCGTATTTAGTATCTGAGATATTCATGGTTTCCCATTTTATAACAGCCGTATTAATTAACATTGAATTATTTTCTGATCTTCGATACCAACATCATTTCCAATAGAACATGTGTTAATCGTCGATTGAAATTTTCATGGATTTCGATGTATTTCTGACTGATTGTCGATGGAAATTTCCATCCCTATTCAATAAAAAATAAGCATATGGTAGAACCCCTATTCGGCAAAAGCCATGCGACTGTTTCTTCATGTGTTATTAGTCTTTTTTGCTCCTACCAATTCCATTGGTAATAAGTTCCGAATGGATCCGTAACAATTCCAATTTCAAAAATGAGAATTGGCAATTCCGGGGATGCGTCACGTTTTTTTCGTATTTCTTTTTTAGGAGATTTTTATTTTAGGAGATATTGAGCAAAACAGTTTTTCAAAAAAAGTTGAATATCTTCTAAACCATTTGTTCGATTTCGCCTATTCACGAACTCATCCTCTAATATCATAAGAGCTACAATCTCACCAAATTTCAATATCCTATCTCAATTTTTTCGAGAGTTATACATCAATTTTATAGTGTATACATCAATTTTATCATAAGAATGCTACACTTTAAAAAAAGATTACTTCTGATAAGTAGGAAAACTACTTGTATTCAGTACCGAGGTGTTTCTGGAGAAAAGCTAATTTTTTTACTTGGTCCAAGTCGAAAATCGACTGAATACAAGTTTTATGCTCCAAGTACAATTAGCACTGGTGACAAGTACCAACTGTACTCATCATCAGTACTGAAAGTACTTGTACTGAGTACCGAGCTGTACTTCTCAAAAGTAGAAAAAATACTTGAGACAAGTAGTAATAGTACTCAAATCCAGTACCAATGGATTTTCGCGGAATATTACAGTAAGATTCCATCATCATACAATGGAGATCGTTGAAAAACGAAGAATTAATGCAAATAAAATTATTGTTTATTGTTCGTTTGCCTCTCAACTGCTTGAAAATTGAAATGTACTGGACTACAAGTCCAGTGTAATAAATTCTCGAGCTACAGAGATTTTTTTTTCAAAATTTTTCAAAAGATGTGTAGAATAACAATTACCAATTAAGTTTTCCAAATTTAATTTCCAA